AAAAGATCAGAATTCAAAAAATATTAGTGTTGAAACTCAGTAAAAGAGGACTGTGACCCATTTTCCAAAGAGGAACGTTGTCATTTGTACTTTTGTCCACATAGAGAGGACCATTTCCACAGATATGCTAAAAGTAGGACACGAAAAAGCTCTGAATGCTGAATGCTCTTAGTAAAAACAGCGAGACATTAAGAATACACTGATAAGTCTTTTTTCTTCTTCTAAACCCTTAACACTAAGACTCTCGTAGAGCCACTTTTCAACGTAAACACACAACCCGAAGTGCTCTGCGGATGGCTCCACACTAAACGTATAGTCGTATGAAAAAAAACCACTTGTAGAAAACTTTTTAAAGGAAAGCTATTGAAACTTAACATCATATACTTTACAAATGCATATCCTAATGTCATAAATATAAATCAAAATAAGCAACCACTATTCGAACATCTGTATGAGTAAAGAAATAGTGGAGTGTTTGCACTCAGGTGTTCTCACGTGTCACGTGAACACAGCGAAAATTCCCTTCACATTACGCAGCTTCACTATTTGCTCAAACTCTTATACTTAACCACACCGAGGTCTTCTGATTACAGCGCATTCTATTAGAACCGTTTTCAAAAACCAAAACCATCAAAGACTTCATTCAACACAAATCTAAGTAACTCCTAAGTCCGACTTTCTATTAACCTCGGCATTGATTGAATATATCTTTCTACTTCTGTTCAGCAAACACGAGGTGCTATTTTATTTCTTTATTTACGCACAAGCTGACGTTTCGGCGGATTTCGCCTTCCTCAGAGCCTGGAAGGGTCAAGTTGACAGCAATCCACTCGGCCAAACACCTCCATAACCAAACAGAGAAAACGCTAAACCAAGATTTCAATCACATTTAGCATAGCTCTGCACACTCATCGCTTTCTATAAGTCTTCCACTGAGTATGTCGCGTGAAGACCGACCGCACAAAATTCACATGGAAGCGTAATGTGCCCCTCCCATCAGAATAACAGGTTTATATACTGTCCAATACACGCGTGATAACGAGGCATTCCTCTCTGCGGTTCATTTTCGGATTCTTGGAATTTATCCAGAATGCCTCTAGAGTTTTGCCTGCATGAGTTCGGGTACAGTCTATCTGATCTCTTGTAAAGCGTGCGGGGACGAATACGTTGGCGAAACGGGTAGACCACTCTGCGTATGTACAAAAGAACACCTAGTCGGCAAACGTAAACTAAGTACTCCACTAGGTACGCATAGCACGCAGAAACATAACGGAGAAGATTTTGAAGTAAGGGTTACGATCCTCGCGCAAGAATCGAGCACACAAGCGCGCAAAACTCTAGAGGCATTCTGGATAAATTCCAAGAATCCGAAAATGAACCGCAGGAAAGAATGCCTCATTATCACGCGTGATATTAATTAGTATATAAGCCTGTTATTTTGATGGGAGGGGCACATTACGCTTCCATGTGAATTCTGTGCGGTCGGCCTTCACGCGACATACTCAGTGGAAGACTCATAGAAAGCGGTGAGTGTGCAGAGCTATGCTAAATGTGATTGAAATCTTGATTTAGCGTTTTCTCTGTTTGGTTATGGAGGCGTTTGGCCGAGTGGATTGCTGTCAACCTGACCCTTCCAGGTTCTGAGGAAGGCGAAATCCGCCGAAACGTCAGCTTGTGCGTAAATAAAGAAATGAAATAGCACCTCGTGTTTGCTGAACAGAAGTAGAAAGATATATACAAATCTAAGTCTTCACGATGACGAAAATAGCCCACTAGAGCCCACTCTGCCATATTCTGATATGCAACCTTAAGCATTGCGATGGTTTCCAAACGGACAGCATTCGCTACGTTAGAGTCACAGGCACAGAGTACTCAAATGGAACTACCCACATTGGCATCGACATATTTGTAGCTCGGATGAAAATTTGAACATGATTGTCAGTCTTTACTAGATTACTACTTAAATGAAGTAATCGTTCATTGCATTGGCGATAACTCATCGTAATCAAATCGTTGTTGTTTCTGTTTCAAATTGTTGTTTCTGGTTACTGTAAAAATAGCAGTAGGTTGCATACTTGGATACCCGTCCTCGCTAGTTGTGCGGGCCTAAGCATAATTTCCATTCTCCGGAGATCTGCTGGTTTAACCATTGTGGTTAATTGGTGTTCGAAGGCCAGCCAGGCCAAAGTCTGCCCCAAGTCGTCACCACCGCAGGCAGTCGCCACACTTGTGGGCCAGAGAGAGATTTGCCACCATGTGACTAGTCAGATACAAGAACAGTGGTGATTCCTACCATTGGTGTTCGTTTACTCTTAGCTGGGCTTCCGGATGGAAACGTCAGACTCTTTCCCAGCCTGGGAGGCCTTGCTGGGGGACGAACCCCATACCGCAGCCCGACACCCAGGAACACCTCATAGTCACGATGAGGAGGCAAGCCATTGCGAAGTAGGTTTCATAACTGTGCGCAAATAAAGGCTATCGAAGTTTCCAAGTAAGTCGGTTGTGCAAAGTGAGCAGCTGAATGTGAGAAATTATTGCTCAAAACAAAAAGAATGACACCAAGCAGAAGGTGGCAATTAGAGCGCAATTCTCGGAAATAGGCCGAAACAATTAGGAGTTTGTTAAGAACGTTTTCCAGGTTAAAGAAAAAACATGGTGGATTTCCGAATTTTCAGGATAGTTGCATATTGAACGAAAGTTTCAACTCTGTAACTTATGCAATTTACTACAGTAAGATGGGATCGATCACTTCATGTTTGTCGTTACAGAGAACGGAATAGGAGCACAAGGAGAAGAGAGGCAAGAAAAGGTCTTAAATCGAAAACAACATTGTCCTTAAAGACAACAAGACCACTAAATAACTTCGCTAACGTCACGTAAAGTACCAATAATTCCAAGATGTTTCCGCTAATAGGCCTTAGCCAAAGTTGTAACAGCACACTGTAATAATGTATTGTCATATTTATCGAACTTCTTCACGGTACTACTTTTGTCACCAAGGAAGTAGGCATGAAAATCTACCATGTAGGAAACTTCACTCATCTCAGTGCCTACGTTTTCACTAAACTCATACAAGCACTTACTTACTTGGGTATTTGCATGGCCCATCCTCACTGGTTGTGCGGACTCCATGAAATTCTCCATTTTTCGGAGTTTTGCTGGTTTAGCCACTGTTTCCCTAGCGTCCTGACGTCAGCCTGGTGAAAGCCAGCCTCAGGTCGTCACCAGCACAGGCAGTCACAGTCCTTGTGGATCAGAGGGAGATTTGCCACCATGCCACTAGTTTGATACCAGGACAGTGATGGATCCTGGTAGTGGTTTACTCCTAGCTGGGTTTCCTGATGAAAACGCCGGACCCCTTCTTAGCTTGGGAGACGCTGCCGGGAGGATGAATCCCACCGCTGTATATAGCAGCCCGACACTCAGGAACACCTCCCTGCCACGATGAGGCGGTAAAGCGTTGGGAGAACATACAAGGAAAGTAATTACTTCCATGATATATCGTCTTCGCCAAAAAAGATATTTAAAGTCATAATAGTTGAAAAACAGTGAAACCTGTGACATAATCTCAACATCTTCATGAGTTGGTCAGCCTAAACCGTCAACTCAGTCCCTAACAGCAACAGTGACTAAATAATAAAAGCTTCTATAAAATACGGACAACGGCGTGAAGAGCAAGCGATTCTGGTTATTTTGAACGTCCAGGATACAGCATACGAATGACAACAGGTACCCATTCCAGATTACTTAGAGCTGCATAAGCACTACATATACTACTTAACTCTATCTCTCGATCTACCAACAGGACACGAATTATAGCAAAAAGGGTATGTTAACTGGATTGTCGCTGCCGAATGATGCTAGGCAATAATAGTGCAATGAGTAATGATGACTCAGACGATGTTTCACAACCAGTCATGACGTCGATGGTTCTCGGTAGTTTTTACGCCAATCATCCTCTAATCGTTGAACCCGTAGACATTAATCGAATGTTATCGTCCATCCCATTTGCTGTACTTAACACCTCGATTTCCTCCGTGACGAGGATGACTTTTCAATAAAATAATAAAAAATGAAGGATAGAGCACTCAGCGTTGATCAAGCGTTCCTGGTGGATGCGCCATGAATTCCACCTCATTAAATTAGAGGTAACTGAGAGCGTGTCTGTCCTAAACAATGAGTCGTGGTGCTCTACAAATGTATCGGGTCACCCTCTCAGCTGGTACCCTCTCAAATAGGCGTGGCACCGATTTTCCGAACGCGGAGTGATAGAGGGCCTGGCAATCCTAAGGTGCTGGATCGAACCCATATGTATTGTGCAGCGCCCCTAACCACTGCGCTACATGTGGTTTCTTGATAAATTACGAAAATCTCTCAACATTACGATACTTGAGGAATGCAGAACTTCATCGAATTATGGAGGAAACTTTGTTGTCGCATATTAATCACATACAAATTTTGTATTGTCTTTTGAAATTTAAATATATTTAAAACTAAAACTTTCGAAAAATTGGATATGTAATTTAAAGTTTTAGAATTCTCAACGCAACAACGACAGCTGCAATCCAAAAGATACACTGCGAAAAATCTCGCGAACTGGAGCGAATTCTCCTTGTTCAAAAGCTTTCGTGTTAGGTAATACGGGTTTTTAAACAAAAACCAGTAAAAGAATCGCTTCATGGCTCTAAAATATCAGGGTTTAACCTTGGTCTAATAAGGAAGCTTGTGTCATGTGAGCAAAGATCTGTAGAATTCAACAGCTTTATTGGGATTAATAAGACTCTATACGATCTGAGACGAATAGATCCAAAGTTGAAACAGACCACTTTTAGCGTCACATGACTCATTCGTCTCGTAGAGGTTAATATCATCGTTTATTGTTTTGACAGTAACGCTTAGAGGGTCGAATATGGTCCTCTCACGTCTTTACGTCCAGTGAAACCTTTCAATTTTCATTTCCTTGATAATACTTAGAAACTAATTATAATTATAGTATATATTTACACACTAGGATTCACATCTTCCAGAACTATACTCGTTATATTCAAAATCTTCTTATTTGCTTCAGCCGCAAGCATCTTTCGTAATGTCGTCGCAAGAAAAGCTGCTGAAAGAAAAGTTTGTGAGGACACACTAAGTGAAGCTTATGTAAACAGCGCTAATACCGGCGCTCCTAAATTCGCAAACGTTATCACTTTAGTAGCACTAGGTGGTTCAAAGTGCTGAATTACATTAGGCACCTACCGTATCTATCAAATTTATCGACTGGTGAACATCGCTCTCGATCCTCAGTAACTAGTACGTGATTACCTTCTTCATCATCGCCATTATTTTTCATAGACATTTCTCCAAAGAAGTTCTTTCAATAATACATACAGTTCAACAGCGGACGAATGAGTACAAGAAAGAGAATGAACCTTATAACATCAATTGATCAACATGTTTAACCGAAGAAATTTCAACTTTATACGACCTTACCTCTTGACCACTCAAAGTCCTGTACTAATAAGCTTACGCAAGGTTGTTAAAGAAACTTTACTACGGTTAACGTCTTGGCTCTTTCGCCTTCTTCAGGACCGCAATGATTCGAGTCAATTATCTGCAGCTGTTCATCCTTGCTATGTGGATTTTCATAGTCGCACCAAGTCGAATTCGGCGGAGTCCAGACCTATCCAGGATGCTCCGCCTGCTCCAGAAACATAAACGGCATCGCACTTTTCGAATTAGGCTTTTGTTTCTACTGGGGAGCAGTACTCACGAACTGTCCCAGAGCAGACCAAGAGCAACCATACGCAATATTTGCTTACGTATAAGTAATATGTATACTCTCCTGTACGCTCTGATTAGTCCGGGAAATTTGATACTAGACTAGTTTGGAAACAGTTCACTATCCGCTATCTAACTGGGAACACTCTAGCCCGACTATTCCGAGATTCCAGGAAAAATCGCCTCGACGAGCATTCAACGACATTCACAAGGAAGAAGACGACAATCATCAAGAAACAACTGACCCAATTCGTCAATGTTCGAAGACCTTCGTTGATAGTGGATGTGAGGAAAAGAATAAAATGGAAGATGTGGTAATATGTGCGCAGTCGATGAAAACGAATCGTGAAGGAAAAAAAATCCTGCACGTTACCTCGACTAAAGACCTGCAATAAAGTGGCTGCGAAATGTGCTGAATATGCTTTAGAGCTACGTCTAACAAACAGACCTAATGTGTGCCCTGAGATACCTTGACAAATAAGTGCTGAATATATCAAGCCTCCCATGGTAAAGCACTATCACTCACAAAAACAATGGAAGTGAAGGGCAAAAAGTGTCAAGCCTCTTCTTATCTGTAACAAGGAAACACACCAGGAAGCCATGGTAAATAACACAGACGATCGGAGCTCGGAGACCTTCATTGGTGCTTGCTGGAGTCTCGCCAGATGACCAACCGGACTGCATGTAATACAAATGAAGAACTTCTAATCACTCTCTCTTATCTCAGCCAGTGTAAACTTGGTAAATCAAAATGTTTGAAAACCGTTCAATTACCTTAAACTCTCGAATAAGTTACGCTGACCAATCTTCATTAACACTAGTACGTAAACATGTTCGCGTCCGCTTGAAATTGCCTGGTATGACTAAAAATTCATATTACTTTACAATTACATCGTTAATGCAATTTAACTCAGTAGTCATCTGAAAGAACTACTTCGACTTCTTGAAAATGTTTGGAAGACATTGATTTGGTCTTCAAACAAATGCTATAGTTCCAAATATAAATAAAATTGGGAGCCATGCAAAACTTAACTTTGTCATTGGATCCCATCTCCGAAGCCTCCAAAAATGAAAACAAACATTTTTGTTTTTGTGTGGTGGCCGGTAAGGACAACAGCGCGTGTTCGTTCCCCACTGCATACACCTGCGGCCCGGAGTTTTGCAAATATCTCAGCATTTCATACGAGAAACATTTTTGTGACCCAGTCTTAGAGATGAGTGAGACTTTTCCCTCTCATCGGAGGGTTTCACTTCAGCATCGGTAGCTAACAAAGTAACTGCATCACTTATACAGAATAAGGAACTCGGGTAGACTGAAGTATTAGACTATTAATCCTCGTCACTCAAATTAACTCTACAACCACTATCCTCATAAAATTCTTTTATTAAAAACTAACTGGAAGGAAGCCTCCGACAAAGCGGGTATCTGGAAGTATTTTCTACACTGCCAATAGTTCAAAAATGAAAAAAAATGCTGTCCTTACTGTACGTATGTGCTTACATATTTAGTCGCTAAGAAGTTCATTGATCTTCTAAACGGCCATGCTCTCTCTAGTGGTTTTTTTGTAACGAAGATTTTTCTTTTAGCAAACACGAACGTTATTCCACACTTTTCTCAGGAATAATACTGAAAGTTTCGGCAACAATCTGATTGCTAAGTAATAATGTTATGTTAATTAGTTTTCTACAATCATAGCATGTTTACTGCACTCACATTTCTGCCAAGCATCCATTTCTTTCCATTTCACATGATTCGTCATCATGTTGTGCGAATCCCAGCACTCCTTACCTTCCATTCGTGTTTTTGCATCCATAGTCCTCGAAAGTCTTCAGATTTTGCATGTGTTCGGCTGCTACTTGAAGACTTTAGGTCTTCTAAATGTTGCCTAATGCCGGTCGAGTCGATTCTCCCTGTTATTCTAGGATAGCCATGCTAGGGTGTTCCAAGATATTGACAGTGAGACGCCAGCTTTCGAGAGTTAGAAGAGGCAAGTTGACCAAAGTCAGGTGCCAATATCCCGAAAGCGAAAAGATAACAGCTTTGCTTATGCCATTTGTTACTACCACTAACCATTAGGAGGCAAAGTAAAACAAATTCATTCCATTCATACCTTTGCCTTTCGTTTAGATAACCTTAAAACGTCCAAAAAAGACGATATGCTTGCAAAATGAAATCATAGAAAGCAAAATCATAGAAGAGACCTACGAGAGAAATCAAACCCACTGTACTCCATTTGGCTTTGTACGTAATGCCAAGAAGCGCACTTTCTCTCGGGAATGGACAATTGGGATTCCAAACTGACTGTTGGTTTTGCGCGAAATGATACCTACCCCATCACTGACTGCTCGACTTGGACTGGCCGCATTTGTATTCTTCTTCCTCAAAAAATACGTATCCTTCCCTCTGGGACTTAGTTTCATGGAGAACGGCAGTGATTTCTGGCTTGTAAATCGCCTTCATCTGCCGATTATTTCCCAGAATCGATATCAGTAATTCGAATCCTAATCAAAGTTAGGAATGCTACGGCAGAAGAAACAGAACTTGCGAAACCAAACCGCTTAGAACAACAACGAAATTTCAGGTAAAATACTCCACTCCGAAACGCCAGATCACGCCATGCGAATGAGATTAGCGGTGCGTTGGTGCTTGCTCTAGGATTATTCCAGGTTTACCCTAACTGCCTCTAATTCCCTATCTCACTCAAATCAGCACTTCGTAGATAGGTTTTAACGATGGAAATTGACAGAATAAGACATTGAAGTCAGTCTTATGCAGGAAGGACGAAGAGATCCTTTGAAAACATGATTTGGACATTACTTCAAATCCCTAAGTGTTTTAAGTACGCTGTTCTGTCCCTAAGCAGTTGACATTTCATCAATCATCGAAAACAATAAAGCAGTGCCTTCGGGTCCAAACGGCAACAAGACGAAACTCCTCACTAAAAATGTTAGAGATCATTCATTCCATATCGAGATTGCTACACAAGCAACAACAATAACAGCGCATTGACATAACACGACACATAAAACAGTTCATTTCCCCAATTTTTTAAAATGAGACCTCTACAGCAGTGAATATGGGCTATATTATTGCCAATCAACTTGGTTGGTCGAAAGATCAAACAACAACAAATCGATACAAAAAATCAATTATTCAGGTAAAACAAAGCAACCCATAAGTGAATTTACAACATCTCAAATTCTTAGTGCCAAACTAAACCTTGAAATCTACGTCTTCTAATAATAGCATTGTCATTTCCCTCATTCGTCGTTTCGCTTCCATTTCAGGCATTTCACGAAGGGCTGTCGAAACAAATGCCGCTGAAAATGAACGAAACGATAATGACAAACTATAAAGAGAGATGAAACCTGCTTTATCGATTTCAATCAAAACAAATTCCCTTACACTCGCACTCTGTACAACCTTCGAGAAGTCGGAGTTATATGAGAAAATCGCCACAAATTTTATTAAAGTATTCTAATGCCCTTACACGTCAACTTAATAGCATATAGATTCTCTTTATGTCTACAGGTTCAACGGTCAAAACAACACCAACCTCAACCGGCTTCACGTGAGCTACGGAGACAGTAACAAACAGCTGCCCCCAGCGGTTTACCGTCTCATGGTGGCTGGGTGTTCATCCGTGTTGGGTTGCGATATACAGCGTGGGGGATACATTCCCCAGAACAGTGCCTTCCAGACTGAGAAGTCCGACACTTCCATCTGGGAGCCCAGCTAAGAGTACACCAATGCCAGGAATCACCACACTGTCCCTGTATCAAACTAGTCGCATGGTGGCAAATCTCCCTCTGATCCGCAAGGGCTGCGACTGCCTGTAATGTTTACGATCAGAGAGGAAGCTTTGGTCAGGTTCACCTCGGGACTCCAGGGAACCACAATAGTTGAATCAGCAAAACTCCAAGAGGTTGGAAATTATGCTGAAGTCTGCGTAACGAGTGAAGACGGTCCATCCAAGTATCAAGTATGTAATAAACATGTGCGCTTCTAATTTGCAGTTTAAAGAAAGCGTGTATGCAGTCAAGATAAAACTCCCCACCATATTTATCATACTTGTCTGCGTATTCTTTTCCATTGTACACACGTATTTGTCCATTTGTGGTATCTTTAGGCGGTTTTATAGATACACCTGAATCGAACAAGAGTGCTAGATTTCCCAGAAGATTTATGAACAACAGGTTCAGGTTCAACAAATGTAATTAAGAAGTTCTGATAACTTCCCTCATATTACAAAAGCAAAACCTTTCGAGCTAAATTTCGACTTATTAATTTGTTAATAAGTAACTTGCCATTTTTATCAGCACACTCTCGTTGTTTGGCAACATTGGCGGCTGAAATTACACAGACTGTGTCAAGACATAATTCAATCCCAAAACATGAGAAACAACGCCTCATTAGTTACTATGCTGACATTCTAAGGAAATCTTATCGAAAAGTGAGTCACAACTACTTTATAATGCCTTTACACTCAAAACGGCTTTATAGTGTTATTATGAACTTTTCAAGGGAAACCTTCGGAGATAGATGACCACAACCAATGGCTAGCAAATGTTTCGAACTTATAACTAATATTGAAACGAATATACTAAAGTTTTACGGATACACCCATTCACCTCCGCTCCTTGCTTCCACTCGCATCCTCTTAGCTGGAGGTGGGGCAGGGTCCATGTTGTCACCTTGAACTGACGACGAAGCTACTGCCCGGTTCGGTGAATTACTTGATTCCTCTGGCATTCCTGATATGCCGTTCTCCGAAAACACCATTACTGACGCTTGTTCATATGTCGTACCATCGTCCCTCATTTCAGATTTCGGTTCACGCTTTGCGCCATTTGAACTGTCGTCCATAAGACTGCTGCCTTCAATTGCGTAACCATTTTCAAGATACTCGAATGCGTCTACCTTCACATCATAGAGGCTATCATCTGGAGCCTCATGAATTTCAGGCGATGCATCCGAAGTATGAGGGCAGTGAGCAAGCTCTCTAAATAATATCGATTGGGTATATTTCTTAAAAAAAGTCAGACATTTATATATATATATATATATGTATATATATATGTAAACATAAATATCAGTGGATGTATGAACGCTAAGAGTTATGATGAAATACACTATGAAATTTAAGGCGAACTTAATACATGGAAGAAGAAAAGTTGGCAAATTCTACACCAATCTACCCTTTTAGCGTTATCAGCTCTGAATAAATCACCTGTTATCTAGTACATGAGTGTCCATACGTCCTAATAATGATAGACTTATGGGAAGTTGAATGCACCGTGAGCATTAGTTTCAATGCATACTTTTACGACTATTTATTTTGCCGGGAAAAGAGTTTACTTATTATTCTCTACACAATACAAATGTTGTGCCACATTCTGTCCATGGAAAACCGTTCTCTACACGTGAACATCTACAGAAAAACATTCCTCACATGGACTTTTTAACAGTCCCCGAGCGGTGTCACAAGCGGCCGCCACGCAAATTGGATGAAATCGCCCCCATGTATTAAATTCTAATTCGAAAATGTAAGTGCGAAGAATTCCTTACTCTTTTGAGTTTTGTAATAATCGAATATAAAACGCAGGACAGCCGTACCCATCCTCATATGTGCCGGCCAAGAAGTTTATCCTACGCTGAAAGTACCACTCCCTCTCCGGAGGCATTTTGAGAGCTAGATTTCGTTTCCATTGATCACGAAGGTTTTTCCACATCACTTTCAGCCTTCCCACTAAAATAACAAAAGCCATTTGTTTTAAACGAAAACAAATCCTGTTTCATGATCGTACCCTTGGACTCGAATCCGTGAGCCTGCATTTTTTCAGCAATCTCATTCCATGCCTGTGTTTTCATATCAGATCGTGCATAGTATTGCGATCTTGTGTTCCAAATGGACTCATGCTGTTTGACTAATTTAATGAGCAGGATCTTTGCCGGATAACTCATATCAGCGGATTAAGTTACCTTTACCTGGAAATCTAGACCTTCCCAAAAATCGTATTATAGGAGGATGCATGCATCCGAAACGAACAATTGCGGTTACGATAGAAAGAAACTGCAGAAAAAAAGAAGAAAAGGTGCAGTTTACTTTTCGTCAGAATATAGCTAGAGTACAGTAAAGTGATTTTATTCTATAATAACAGGATCGTCGCTGAAGTACAGTGCACACTACAAGCACAATATAACTAACGCGTCTTAACCTCAAATGCACTTGAGACTACCGTTGAGGTAAAGGGTCGGTCTGATCCCTCCAGCGAAAACGACTTCGCAAATAAAGCGTAGCTGTGTGGTCGTTATCGTAGGTATTTGGTCCTAAATGTTATGAAGAGGTATTTTTATTGACAATAAAAGCTGTGAAAGCTACTGAACTTCCCAGATTTCATTGGAACCAAACATTATGTGTATAGAGAGAAATTTAGAAGGACTGCAAAAGCTAACAATGTCTACGATTCTTGATAGCTATGACGACATACTCAACTCAGCATTGGGATTCCACTTATAAGAGCAAATATAATAGGACGGAAAACCCGTTTAAAAACATTTCCCTTGAAGTGAACCGTAGCTACCCTTGAAGTGAAGCATGGCTACGTTTGTTCTCATTGGTATCTATTCAATTTTGACAAACAAACTCGACTCCAGAGATTTTTAGCGCTGGAAAAAGTTGTTAATACAAAGACGAAATTTCACATCAGCTGTATTCTAGACACCGTGTGCTCAGAATTATTTATGTCCAACAATTCAAGACGACTTCGTAAGACGACCAAAAAAATGCGCCAATCAAAGAACAGAGTGGATGTGTGATCTCTGTCACAGAATTATGATAACTTCATCACACTATTAATAAAACTATATCAGGCTAAATCGGGTTAGATCAAGCTGCAAACAGAGCAGACGGAAATAGCTCTTGAGCACTCCGATGTTATTTCTGAGTCCCACTCATAACAGCACGGCTCTAAGGAAAGCGAAATCGTCGAAACGTCAGCCATCGACCAACAACACCAATAGCAACGACAACGAAGACCTATATCAACCTCGCGTTGGTGCAACAAGATCAGTTTGTAAGATCATATAAATAAATATATATGTAAAGAGTTTCCTTCCCTATGCAAAATACAACTGAAGATGGTTGTCTTCTACAGCATAGTATTCACACTACTCAATAAGAAAGGAAGGGCTCGACATGTAGTTTGACTGATCTCGCCCGTGCTGACCCCTCGTGCGAGGGAGCAAGCGATGAAGAGCGAGCGAGCAACAGAAGTGAGAGGCGCGGAGATCGAGCGAGTTACAGCAGTGAGAGGCGCGTGGAGCGAGCGAGCGACAACAAACGTGAGGGCAGGTGAGAGGGATTGAGCGACAAGAAGCGTAAGGGAGGAAGAGAGGGGACGAGCGACCACAAACGTAAGGGAAGGAGAGGGCGAGAAAGCGACAAGGGACGAGGAAGGAGAGGAGGGCGAGCGAGCGACAGGAGACTTGAAAGGAGAGGAGAGCGTGCGAGCGACAAGAAACGTAAGGGAGGAGGACAGGGAACGAGCGACAAGAACGGTAACGGAAGTGGGAAGCGAGCGGCAATCTGACAGAGAATGAGCTGATGAGCGTGGAAAGCGAGCGATAACGGACGCGCCAGAGTGACCACCTGCAGGACAATATGCCCCTAACGCGCCAACGGCCGACAAACCATTGCCACACTGCGAACCACGGCAAATATGGAGATCTTCAGACAACCAGTCAACAGTGAAAAGTGATCTCTTGTTAACAAACGGTCAAAAGTAGATGTGCTTCCTCCAGAATTCCAACCGCTGGAAGAATTGCCCTATTGAAAAAAGAGGTGGCTAATGCACAAATGTTCCACATCAAGTGAACGCATTCTGCAAAAGACCATAACAGGCACAGAAAAATAAAGGTTTCCACGACGTTGATGGGTAAAATAGGTTGAAAAACACGGTCCTAAGAAATTTTAAAGGTGGAAAAAGCCGAAGGGTCAACTGTTGTGGGCAAAACGCTGCATTATCAACCTCATGTTGTCCCACGAAATCCACAATAACGTGACGAGTGACCGACATTAGAGGGAAATCAAGCCTAGAAATGTACATACTCAGCTAACGCAACCGTAATTGATCCAACAGATTGACAAATGGGAATGTCATGATGGCTGTCACCGAGTATAAACGATGCTTGTGGTTCGTGGATATGAACAACAAATTTGAAACAAAAATAGTAGAGATGTCTATGGAAAACCACGACTGTGACGCGTAAGTGACAAGTATGGATTTCAAGCGAATGCTGATAAAGTGTCGACCGAAGTATAACTGGCGGTGGTTGGCGACTGGCGGATAGCAGAGCGCGACGAGCGACCTCGAGCGGTCTGGGCGTGCGCAGAAATCGATGGCGGCGGACGCCCGCCGCCTCCTGTGCTCGCTCGCTCGCGTCTTGTCGCCGCCGGAATTGTGGCGACGTAACGTGTCGCGTCCAGTTGGTCGCGTCCGGGTGGTAGCTTCCATGATCGTATCCGGATATCGCGAACACCTTACGGATTTTACATTTGGGAATTCCCTGAATGGGGTGCGTGAGTCTAAACACTTCGTAGCATGGATTTTTTCCCACATTTAATGCTTTTTTTCCAATTAAATCACACCAATCGTCCACGTAAACTTTCGGATGGTGTAACCTCTCACCTGTCGTCGCACTGATTGTCGAGTGACTTGAACGAGCGCCAGTGAACCTTCTGTTTCTCCCTGTCGCGTTCTATTTCGAATTCTTATCGAATGAAGCTGAGCTTTTTGGTGATCACACGTCCAATCAGGAGGTGAGTAGTACGATGGTACTGATGCCGCCCATCACGAGCACGATGCCGGTCCCGTCCTATCCTGGTTCACCGAGTCTCTTATTTCTCTGCTGTCGGGAAGTTGTTAAGTCTGGACTTGGGTGTGCAGCTATTCCAGGGTTTGAGAGCAAATCGACACGAGCAGCATTCAACGACGTTCTTGACTGACAAAAACAAATTCCGAAAGTAGCAGCCAAATCAACAAATGGAAGCGTTCGAAGATCTTTGTGGATAATGAATGCGAGGAAACGAGTGGAATACAGGAAGGGCTGGGATCCGCACAGTAAATAAAAGGATGACTCATGTAGAATAAGTTAAAAACACATCTGGTCATTATTTTCTTAGATAGGCTATAACAGGAGTTGGTAAGTAAAAAAAGACTTTGTCAGGCTAACATTTCCTCCTCTTCACCTTCTTCGGAGCCGTAGCGATCCGTGGGAATGATAGTCCAACGTTGCCCTATATCTGTGTGTATTGTCAGTGATACCTTAAACAGGTTTTGTACTCGATTAGAAACATCAAGTTTGGAGTTTGTCTTGTTGAAATTGGTACGGTAGGTAGTGCATCACTACTTATCACACTTTCTTGTTTTTCCTTATATTATCTGCACCAAGAGAAATCTTCCATTTCAACACTTTTCTTGATGAGCAATTCGTCCAGCTGGAAGCAAATTTCATCTTTTCGATATGAATAGACTTAGGTTTAAGGCGTTGATACGACTCATCTTTCACATCTATATCTATGTGGATCCCAGCACTGGCTTGCATTCGGTTTGTTTCCTTGCGTCCACCATCAACAAAGATCTTCCAACACGTGTGTGGATTCAGCTGTTGATTGAGGGTTTTCCTTTCGCAATGAATTTGAATGCTGGTCGGGTATTTTCTACCTGGAGTCCTGAGATAACCGGGCTAGAGGGTTCCCACATGGTTTGCAGAGAGTGGACAGGGTTTTTTCACTAAAAAAAGATAGCAATATTATGTGTAGTGGTGGCCAATTCTATTTTCATCCTCATGTATTTTCCTTGTTTTCATCTTTAGTGGTGAATGGCACGGATCTCTATTCACTAACCTATCACCAGCCCTTTACCCGCGAAGCCATGCATAGTTTCATTAGGCCGGAAATATACGCATGCAAAAAACTATCTTGTAATAATTCAATGTTTTTCATCAATAAGCAGACACGAGGTTGTTAATATAGAATTTATTAGAACACAATTGCTGACGTTTCGGCGGCTTCGCCTTCCTCCTTCCTATCTTGTAATATCTTAACTTCTCTTCACTGCATATTATTTTTTCAAGGGATTGTACGATGCGACCTGAAAACACCAGTAGAGTGAAAAACTGGCTGAGCGAAAGACAAAGCAAGGGTCTTTCTTAGTGTAGTGGATAGCACCTACGCCATCCGTAACAGTAATCGCGGACTCAAGACCCCACTGAGCTTCCAAATCTTGCTCACATCTCACCATCTTTGAGTTCATGGTTTACTACCTTGTAAGCTTCGTATCTTTAAAAGTATCTTATTTGGAGAACTACATTACGTAGATAGATATAGATAACGAAGTCTTTGCATTTGTAGTGTAGGAGTTCGTCCTTGGGTACTCCTACATTCTCGTGGAGTCCACTCTACAGTTCTTTTGGTCCATCTGTCGTCCGTTCTCCTCATTGTGAGACCTGCCCATCTGTGTTTCGCTATTGATGTGTATTCTTCTGGATACTGAAGATGTGACAGAGTTCGAAGACTTGAGGTTGGCATTCCGGCTTGATATTGGAAGTGCCGGTTATATTTCTGAAAACATCACTAAAGCTTTCTGTGAGCAGTACGGAGTATTCTCGACGTGGTCGAAGTATCAGTCTACGTCTCCGCTGCATAACAGAGCGCTAGGAGGACCGCCGAATCGAAAAGGTGAGAGCGGATTTTCGGGTCATTCAGTTGGCCGGTAACTTTTCTGAGAGACCCAATCCGACACAAGCTGCTCTCCTTCTTCTGCCTAATGTCTTCGTGTTGTTTTCTATGTTCTATCCTGCACGTAGATCGGCCAACAATTTGCGATGACAGGAATGGGAAGTGTTAGGAGTTGTATTCAACAAAAGAATCCCTCACTTTCTAGAGCTCAACAAAATACCCGTGAAGCTCCAATACCAGAGCTCGAAATACATTTCAGGGATCGTTGGACGCTTTGATGACCGGTTACTACATGTTAGCAACCGAATTTGTATTGTGCATTTTTGTCCATTCGTTGCCAAAGAAATTAGCAAAAACAAAGAACCTTATTCCATTGACTCCTAAACAATTCCCGATACCGCAGCTGTAGTGAGAACGAGTACAGAGTTGCTAAAATCTCAGCAAGATTGTGCCGCTTAAGTCAAGAAGAAGTATGGTGACCATTTGTACTTACAATGGTACCACGAGAACATCCCACTGAGGACGATACCGCCAGTGGACTGGCCTAGTTGAGAACAATTCGTTCGTTAGAGGCACTAATGGCAAAGAATTACACAGAGTAAGCGATGTGTCCTCCCAACACGAACTAGGTCATGGATATCGACCTCTTCCGAATAACTAACGACCAAAATCGGACGTTTACAGTTAAGAAGATGTGGACAAATACCAGCATTGACGATCTTCGTCACCCAACGTCAGACTACGATAATGACCACGTTCTGAGCATTTTCTAGGAGCTTGATAAGTTACACAAGAAAGGTCACATCGTAAGTTCATGGTAAAATGGTCGCTTTATAATTTTGAAGCCATAGAACACGAGGAGGACGTCCCAAATTGGGATACTGTCTGAGCTCATCCCTGATGTATTTGAGCATTAAGACGATTAACGGATATAGGGGATCTATCCTCATTAGTCATATGTGGTGACAAAAACATAAAGATGAAGATGCTTCGAAACGTTGAAAGGAACCACTATAAGCTGCAAATCCTAACTTTCGTGCGATTTTATACCAGTGTTAAAAGTTGGGACACGAACCGATGAAACGAATGCCCTACGATCACACTTAAGCCCACAGATGAGTATTAGACTTGAAACAAAGCACACTTTTATTGTCAGATAAAAAACACTTCCCGACGGTAGTCCATCATCCACGAAGGGGAACAGCATGGAGTTTTCGACGAGCTATCACGATATGATCGATACTATTATACTTCTTGTCAGGTTAACGAAATGCTTCATCAAGAAAACTCCTAATCAACAAGAGGCTTTTTAAGCTCTTCAGGCACAATAACATCCATCCAAAAAGTATAAGGGTCATTATCTTAACCCTTTTATTTACTGCCTTTTTCTTCTTAATGGCAGGTTATGTTTCGAATTATAACTCGTATGAAATGCTGAGATATTTGCAAAACTCCAGACCGCAGGTGTATGCGGTGGGGAACAAACGCGCTATTGTCCTTTCCGGGGAGTAGCGTACTTCACCACCACACCATCCGGGTCCTTCGTTTTGCCTGTCTCTCAGCTAGTTCTATTGATCTTTTGCCATCAGCAATCACCCATTAGCGGGATTGATCTGGGGAGCCCAAATAAATAAAAGGGTTAAGATTGTGATTATAACTAAGCCTCAGCTTAACTGGGTTCAATGCTGATTTGGGCTCCCCAGATCAATCCCGTTGACGAGTGATTGCCGATGGCAAAAGATCAATAGAACTAGCTGAGAGACAGGCAAAACGAAGGACCCGGTGGTGGTGAAGTGCGCTACTCCCCGGAAAGGACAACAGCGCGTTCGTTCCCCACCGCATACACCTGCGGTCCGGAGTTTTGCAAATACTTCAGCATTATATACGAGTTATAAGGGTCATTATTCAGCTCGATCATTACTTCGCCATTCATTCCTTTCTTCTGCAGTCCTCATCTTCTCCTTCCAACGAACACAAAAACATAGGCAGCGAACAAGAATAAATATCAACATAATGGTAAATATCCTTCTGTGAAATACTAAAACATCGCGCAACAGTCTTATATAAACTTATTAAAAATGCAAGAATGAAAAGTATATGGTCATTACTCAAGAAGTTCTCTAACTTCTTAAGCCATTAACATGCTCCGGCATGACCATACTGAAGCTTTGATGAGGCTGGCCTGGTTTCGCATTCATACACATTACTTCCTTGTTACACTGCGTATATAAATAAAAGGATAAAGCTCTCGGCGTTGATCAATCCCTGAGGGACGCCCCACGCATTCGACTTCATTAAGCATCGTTTGGAGATGACTGAATGCATATCTGGCCTTTACAATTACTCGCGGTAGGCTACCGATGTATCGTGTCAGCGCTGCTATCCTCCAATACAAGTCTGGTGCCAATTTGCCGACCCCGGAGGGATGGAAGGATTGGTGAGCCATTGGCACCGCGATCGATCCCAGGTGTGTGCTGCAGGGCGCTTCCGACCACTGCGGCACGCGCGCCCTCTGCATGTATACTCCCAACGTATTTGATTTTTGGAAAATGTAAGAAGGATACACACGAAACCATTGAACATGGATCCAACAGTCAGTAAAGGAATCCTAGACGTCTAATGAGCAGTTTATTATTCATAAACAAAGAAGAAGAACAGATCTTTTCAGAGGATCAAGAAAATCAGATCGACAAACTTCAAAAATAATAGAAGAAATTCGTAATATATAGCATATAAATGCATTAAGAGGAACTGTTGTGGACGACAGAAAAAAGTATTGGATTCATGAAAACACTTCCACAGCATACATCACTATGAGCATAACAGAGAAACAGAACACCTTCCTGTCTCTACAAGGGTAGGCATAAGGTTAAAATGATGAAAAGTTGTTGCAGACGGGCATGCCATATCTTCCACGGTCACCTCATTTTCTCCGTGGTTTCAGTCTGTAAGTTTTACTAAACAGTTTCAATGTAGAAATGTAGATTTGTCACCTGTACTAGAAATTTACTCAAAAGTAAGAATTTTTCAATAAACGTTCCCTATGTGGGTAAATAGTGATAGAAATACAAAAATAAAATTGCCCTAGTCATAATCCTCGCCTTTCCTTGAAATGTACGCTCCTTGCCGCTAAAAGAGCCTGTGCAGCAACATTTCTCTCGTCCAGGATACGATGATAAGTCACAAGTAGAGCAAGATTTGTGCTGAAAATAGTGATAAGATGGAAGAACAGTGCTGAAATTTAAGCATTGTAAAAATTATTCAATATAGTCAATATACCGGATAGGGGCGAATAGAACAGTGGTAATAACTTCCGTTATCACGAACATGGTGCTAGTTTGATTCTGCACTGCGCCAATCAAGCCTCTCTTCCCCACGGGGTCAGGAAATTGGTAAAGGACTTGTCTAGGAGAAAAATCACTCTCTGCAATCCAATTAGGAACGCTCCAGCCCGGCTATCTCAGGATCCCAGGGAAAATTGCTCGACCAGCTTTCTACAGCATTCAAGATGAGATGAAAATCTTCAAGTAGCAACCGAAGCAACACGTAAAAGTTGGAAGAGAACATCTTCGTGGACAATGGATGCGAGGAAGCGAATCGAATGTGAGAAGCGCTGGGATCCGCACAGTAGACGGATCATATAAAATTTGAAAAAATAAAAAATCGATCAATATAGCCATCAGTCATTAAAAACGTAAACATTACATGATTCGGTAGGACAAAGTGTTATGTCGAAGTTGATGAGCAACTAACGATATCGTTTACATCCTACATGTGGATTGCTGCTCTGGTTGCCTTCTTGTATTCCAGTTTTACAGCGGTTTTCAACAGGATTAAATCAACGAATAATTCTACGTTTAGTTCACGTATCAGGGTGTATATCAGTGTCCTATTCTTGTAAGCGGACGCATGATACATTGACACGCTTTCACAATACGTTCTGTAGGCCAGATATGCATCTAATCATCTCGGCGATGCCATAAATGAAGGCGAATGCATAGAGCATCGCAGAACGATCCATGCTTTATTCCTCTCACGAGGGTCTGTCACAAATTCAATCATGACAGAAGAGTTGGACATTTGATAGAGTAGTCACTTTTCTGTTCTATAAAAAAGGATAAAGCTTTCAGCGTTTATCAACCCTTGAGACACGTGCCATGCGTTTGACTTCATTAAGCATCGTTTGGGAGGTGATTGAATGCGTATGTGGCTTTACAACGACTCGCGGTGGCCTGTCGATGTATCGAGCCAGTGCTGCTATCCTCCAAGACAAATCTGGTACCAATTTGCCGACCCCGGAGGGACGGAAGGATTGATGGACCATGAGTGCCGGGACCGATTCCACATGTGTTACAGGGCACCTGCGACCACTGCGCCACACGCGCTCCTTCTGTTCTATAATACTGATAAAACTTGTGACGCGAAGCATACCTCGCAAAAAAGCCGAAGAAAAACACGCCTGTCAGAGCAATCCACGTTACTTTAGATCCAGTCACACTGATGACGATCAGGATGAATGTTCCGATTATATATATACCGACTTCACATACCAGTATCACAATTTGTGGAACAACTAGTCGAGATTTTGTCATCTAAAGAACCTTATCATACATTAAGATGGAAATAGTAGGCGGAGAGTAGTTTGAAATAGTTATGGATTAGAACACCATATGGATGTTAAGTAACCAAAACAATCCAATTCTTGTAACCTACAGTAGAGATAAAACACACTTATTTGCCTTGACGGTGGATCGCACTGATTTGTGATCGGAAACCATCAGCTGGGAAGTTTCTGATAGACAACAGAAGTTATGAATTCCTTATTAAATATGTTGCTTTAACTTCAGTACTGGTATAACTCTTATGTACTTCCATGAAAGTTGCGAAACAGATGTACACGGTTCCGGAAGTTACTTCTCAAGAGCAGCTGTTTGACTTATTCCTGTTCTCTTAAATAGAAATCCGCTTCTAGTATCTATTTTTTTTTACTGTATATGGAAATGCGAGCACTACGCGCTTGTCTACAAAGCAAACAAGATGGCATGCTCGCTCAGCTGAAGAAGTGCGCGGCTAACGAACGCCACTCCGCTCAGTATTTGGAGGACCGGCTTTGGAAGAGAACAGTGGGTGGGTCAGTGTTGATTTGAAACTCTGTAAGGTCTTAACCCTTTTATTTACTGCCTTTTTCTTTTTAATGGCAGGGTATGTTGCGAAATATAACTTGTATATAATGCTGAGATATTTGCAAAGCATCGGACCGCAGGTGTATACGGTGGAGAACGAACACGCGCTGTTGTCCTTACCGGGGAGCAGCGCACTTCACCACCACACCATCCGGGTCAGGTGGGGGGTCTATAAGGTTTAATGCTAAAACAATCTTACGGAAAAAATTTGAGGACCTCTACAGTAAATAACACGGTTTCAAGAAGGTATAGAAGCACCGTTAACGAAGATCAGACGAGTCACAGTAAAGTAAATAATGTGCCAGAAAAGTCGAGGCTTACTGTGTTGAGAGGCATGGCCGCTTCATTGGAATTGAGCTCAAGTTTCTAATCATATGAACCCATTTCTAAGGTATCTTTGCAAAGGGTCGCATGTAGTTCATTTAAGGATAGAATCCGGAACAAACCATTGCGATCGAAATATGGTTTCGTGTTTTTTCTGTTTTCGTTATGAAGGTGTTTGGCTGGGTAGGTTGCAGTCGACATGACCTTTCCAGGATTTGAAAAAGTGAAACCCTTGGGACATTAGCTTTTTTCGTGAATAAAGAACACAATAACAAAATCGTGTTTGTTCATGAAGAATACAACAAATTATTTGATCAATCCCGATGCTACTAGAATTTGGTTTTGGGAATTTCTCCTCCTAGTTTCTGTTTAGCAAAGAGTTTGCGCAGCACATTTTCTATGGAATGAAACTGTGCTATAGGTAAAAGTGAAAAATAAACCATGGAGAAATTAGTTCGGTTCATTACACAGAACACAGCATCTACGAAAACTTTCTGCTCCTAAACAACTCCTAGTTGGTTAAAACTTTCTGGCTTTATAGCGTACCGTTTGGCTCACCTAATAAATGCGGCTGAAAATAAACCAAGCTTTGACAAAACTCTCGTTAAAAATTTCAAGACTTGATATCTGATCTGTTGATTTGTCAACTGACCGCAGTCTTGAGTATAACGTTAAGTTATTGGTGGTGTCGCACACTTTGTTTCTGACGTCATCAGTAGAATGCAAGTAGTGTTAAGCTTGAAGACCGTAAGTTGTACAGTGAATGAGTGCTATATACTGTACCTGTACACCTAAAATCGTTCCTAAAACGGTAAGTAAGTGTGCAAAATGTATTCCAATCCAACAGGATAAGAACACTCGATAGCACGTCCAGTAAGTTGCTGGATCGCTTCGTCTCAAGTACTGCAACAAAGATGAATCCACATTGTGTTCCTCGATAAATCCTGTTTTAACAACACGTACCGCTAATAGCTGCCTGTACAGTATCAAGAATTCGTGCCAGGATGGTTGTAGCAATAACAGAATACCAACAGCTATGCCAAGTATGCACACAATGGTGCTCACTGCGCTGTGGATATAAACCCATGTCTCAAATGTTATCTAACATTAATATTATTCATAATTGCAAGGTTATTAAAGCTAAAAATAAGCCTTTTAATGCGAAGTGCATGGCTGCTTTCCAACAAATAGGTTCAAGTTCATCATATCAGAGAGATTTGTGGAAATAACAATAGGTAAGTAGGAAAAGCCATCGATACGCGGTGATGAGGTCATTACTTGGATGGTCCATATTCACTGGTTCTGTTGGCCGTTGCATAATTCCATTCTTCACAGATTTGCTGATTTAGCTATTGTGGTTCTTTGGAGATCCAAGGTCGTCGCAGTTGAACTCTTCCTCAGATCGTCACCACCCCAGGCAGTCGCCGTCCTTGTGGATCAGAGGGAGATTTGCCACCATGCGAATAGTTTGATACTAGGACGGTGGTGAACAGTTGTACTGGCTTACTCTTAGCTGGGCTTCCTGATGGAAACGTCGGACTCATTCGCAGCCTGGGAGGCCTTGCGGGGGGGATGAATCTCTCCGCTGTGCATGGCAGCCCCAAACCCAGGAACACCGAGCCACGATGAGGCGGAAGGCCATTGGGAGAGATGATGTCATTACTCCTATTAAAAAACGTTGAAAAAAGCAGTTGCTAATAAATTCCTTGGAGATGGTCTCCTATATTCGTTATTAACCCATGAATGAAAATATCTACTTACCACTTCGAGTCCAACGCCTAAGTCCGTATGGCTGTCGCATCTAAGAAACGCGTAATTGTGCACTGCACTTCTTACGAATTTAAATCAACCCATAAAAGCCGATATGCTCCTCTTCTCATGCACAAGTTATATAGGCTCTGCTCATTAGGAACAGCCTTCCTACTACTTAGGTACAGAAGGCTTTAATTGGAAGGGGATTCATACGAATTTGACGGAATACAAAGGTATCTCAGTTCACCCCCATTTGTTACTACCTTGATATCATAGCGCTCTCCTGACTAGCAATAATCTCGGTGATTTGGTTGGCGAACTCGACCAAAAACACTTCTGTTTCTATGTTCTTCGTAGCTTCATCTCTTTTATGACACCAAACAGTCCGCTTATACCCACATATAGTCGGGCTATCAATAGAAACGTGAACGAACTGACGAACTTAAGTAAATATCACGAAAGAAAAAAAAGGAAAGAAAAGAAAAGAAAAAAACGAAAGGAAGGAAAGGAAAGGAATGAAATAAATCTTACTTGAATGTGAAGTCCAGCATATCGATTTACTTTGTCCTGTTCTATCACAGTACTACCAAACACCGGACCATAAAACATTTCGCTCTGGTTTCGTAATAACCAAGTCACAAAATCAGTTTGATATTTGAAAATGAGTACTTTGCAGCATCGATGAAAAACAATAGCAGTTCATAAGAAACGAATTTGCATGCAAGAAAGCTGCCTATATCTCCTTGTCTGTAAAAATCGATATCGTTTCCAGTATTACTTTGACAAATTGAGTTTTAGTTCTGAAATCTAACAGAGAAGCAATTGAACAAGTAGGATTTCACCCAGTGGGACGTTCGGTACAAGTTTTGAAAATTTGAGTTATGTTTTAAATTTCTCAGAATTTTCATCACCAACGTGTTTAAAAGTGAAAGAATATTTGGTAAGAATTATATAGGTAATCTCCCAACGGTCTACCGCCTCATCGTGGCTGGGAGGTGTTCCTCGGTGTCGGACTGCAATGTGCAGCGGGAGGATTCGCCCCCCCCCCCCCCCCCGGCAGAGTTTCCCAAGCTGAGAAGGAGTCTAGCGTTTCCATTAGGAAGCCTAGCTAAAAGTAAACCAATATCCACCATCACTGGTATCAAAGTCGCATGGTGGCAAATCTCCCTCTGATCCACAAGGGCTGCGACTGCCTGTCGTGGTGGCGACCTGGGGCAAACTTTGACCAGGCTGTCCTCGAGATTCCATGGAACCGCAGTGGCTTAGCCAGCAAATCTCCGAAAAATGGTGATTATGCTGAGGCCTGGACAACTAATGAAAACGGGTCGTTCAAGTATCAAGTAAGTGTGTAGGTAATAGGAGGCGGACAGTGCAGTGATAGTGATGTCCGTCATCACGAGCATGATGATAATTCGATTCCGCTCCGGCCCAACGAAGCTCCTCATCCCTCCGGGGTCGGAACATAGGTACCGAACTTGTTTGGAAAAAAAACACTCTCTGTAATCAATTTAGGAACGCTCCACCTCGGCTATCTCAGCACTCCACGGAGAACTGCTCAAACAGCATTCAACGACATTCAAGATGAAATGAAAATCCTCAAGCAGCATCCGAAGCCACATGTGAAAGTTGGAAGATCTTTGTGGATAATGGATGCGAGGAGACGAATCGAATGTGAGAAAGTGCTGGGACCCACACGGTAGACGTGAAGACGGGTCATATAAAATAAAACAAAATGAAATAAAGTAATATTACGATGATGGCAGTTATCAACTCCTCAAATGCTCTAGTGATCAAGAATTACAAGAATTAGAGCAAAAAATCAGCATCAGATGTAATGTACTAAAGTTGAAAGCGTAGATCATCTTCGCCCGTGTGTGAGTCATATACGACTCACATTACCCGGAATGTGTTAACTAACAATTGCGATGAGTTGACGTTGCAGAAACAGAACACGGTGCCGTATAAGTTTTTCGTTTCCCACGTTTTTTATCTTTTTAAAGCCTGCATTCCGTAACTCAAGTTTGATGTTCCCATTTACCATTAATAATCCTTGAATACAACCAAAGGGTCTGAAGCAAAGAATTTAAAACTCTTATTCCAAGTTTTCTAGCAACTAATTTCTATTTCACAATAATAATGGACTAATAACGAATGTTTGTCGGCATAGCAGAAGTACTAATTTCTATTCAGATGAACGTATTGCGCTCAGTAGATTACAACCATAGGGTTTATTATTAGAACGGCAAAAGCTGTTTTTTAAGACATTCCCAGTTCTGAGGCTACTCAAAACCCGAAGACGCCGACATGCAGAAAAGTTTGTCATTGCTTATTTTTCTCTTATTGAGTTCCTAGGTGTTTCTTGTTTCCGAAGCCATTTCATGTCGGATTTACTACATTTATTTGATAAATGGTGCCATTTTTAGATCTGAAAAACGGAGATCGTAGATATCAGGGAAGCAGTGATTCACTATCATTGTGTTAAAGTATATATGAACTGACAAAGATGGAGGTGATTGCAAAGAATAAGGAAACCAGAATGATTGAGGAAGTGCTCGCACTATGCCAGCGAATGAACATTAGGATCCAGTGAACGTAAAGTGCTGGCGATGAAACACATGGATCGACAACTGTCACAACGCGGCCGGATATTCGCGACATGCCGATCACCTCTGCGACATGACGATCACCTCCAGTAGAATTTTTCCGATGTGGTCATCCGACGCCCTAATAAAGCGTCTCATCGGTAGTTCTTTGTTTGCCATAAATATCTCATTTCTTACACTTTTTTCCATAAACAGTGCGAATCTGCATGTATTTTCTTTTACGAACTGCCCTTGTTGAGCTGCGGTTCAATGGTTGACGTTTCGGCGACTTCGCCTTCATGAGCCCGATTGATCCGAGTCGATGTTTCACAGGTGGTCGCATTCGCGATATGGGTGTTCGTTGTCACATTGAGTTCAACCCATTAGAGAGAAGTACACCTCGAATGAAATTTCCTCACTCGGCTGGGATCTTTTATAACAGACGGAAATTGATTTGCTGCTGCGATCCGATATAATCTGCTTTTATGGCAGATTCCCACATATTGCTTGGGCTTCAACATTTTCTCCATTTGTTTCGTTCCGTTAAACTGTCATGCATAGAGATGGCAGAGTAGGTGTGTACATTGTAGATTGGCTTATTTTAGCTTAAGAATCTGTGCTTTTAATCTTGATTTACAAAATGAGTGCTTTTTGAGTGTAGTAGTGCCTTGAGGAAGTCATGCTAGAGTACGATCACATCTCCTGAACAGGTAGTACCAGTGCATGCCACAAATATTGTGAGGATCACAGCCTTTCTTACATTCGATTCGTTCCCTCGTATACATCATTCACTGAGGTCTGCAAATTCGCCATATGTGTACGGCCGTTGCTGGATGATTTCTGGTCTTCTTGGTAAATATGATTGAATACTGTTCTAGTCGATTCTCCCTAGCAACTGTACTAGCAAGTTCCCAAATCTTCATCATAAAGAGTCGCCAGCTTTTATAGAATACAGGGAGAGGGTCGACCCGGGACAACTATGTCACTAATTTCCCAACGCTGAAGAAATGGGAGGTAGGCCTGATTGGTACAGCACGGAATCGAACGACGATCTATGCGCGTACTGGGCGGTACTCCAACCAATGCGCCATTCGTGCTTTTATGCTGAACGATTAGATGATAAACAAGTGAACTGGCGGTGGCTTTACTATTTCCTCTAAACTTTAGTACTAGTTCCTCACAATTCTAATTTAAATGGGGTCAGCAAGCGAGACAGTACCTAGTCAAAGCGTTCGAGGTCACTTCCTAGTGGTTCATGCAATCACTAACACATAAAGACAAGCGTTATTTATGTACATAACTTATTTCTCTTCTTACCGACGACAACAATATTCTAGGAGAACACCACTGAAACAATGACTATATTCAAACTTATCAATCAGAGTGGTGAATAAATCTTTTGGAGAATCGGTCTAAGACAAAAACCCCAGGGCAGGGAGAGCTTGTTCAACTGATTAGGTTGTAAATCATAGTAAGTGTACCGTTGATCCACCAAGGACACCTAGCTAACACTGACGATGACAAAAATGGAGGAAGAGCACAGCAATATGGAAGGCTTTAGTTAGTAACTTGTAGAGTACACGATAAGTTGAAGACATAGAAGGAAGCCATGTAATGAAAAGAAAAGCACTGAACAACTGAAAACATAAACAAATAAAAACTGAACTATGCTGGATCCCTTGTGGAAGAAATCACATGAAGAGCAGATCCTACAACAAACGTGGACGGGCTCGAGAACCACATGAGCCAGCTGTTTGCAAATGATATTTTCTCACACTTAGTTCATGTTTACATACTCATGTACCATGTCAACTATTCTTTCACGGTGTTCGACTGGACCGACTATTTTGAGCATTTAAGAGCTTCTAGTTTAGTGAAATTCGCGGATTTGTCCAATGAGGACGGTTTCAATGATGAAGCTACTCACAGAGATCTCCTGGATATACATGTACCAAACTAATCAATTAACTGTCAATTCTACCATGGCCATTTCTTATATGCTTTACTTCTCTAACGATTATCTAGTTGGGATACTTGCAAAACTTGGACCTTGGGCTAGATCGAACTGCAATTACCCTTCAGGTGCTCACCTGTTACGCACGGAACCACTGAGGCTCTCGTTCTTCTTTTATTTCAGCCAGTCTTTTTACCATAAAGATGCCCTCAACATTCACCCGTCAATGGAAATGATCTTGGAGAAAAAGACTAGCTAACAGAAAGGCAAAACGAGGACCTCAGTGGTGCAGTGGAGTAACGAGGGAGTCCTCCCAAAATGTAATCGCTGTTCGATCTGGCCTGGGGTCCAAGTTTTCCAGATGTCGCAACATCATTGTGGCTGCATTTCACATAATACTCTGCTGTAAAAAGTAATGGGTAGCAGCGAAAAGTTACACAACGTAATTACCAGGTTATTAACCGTCTAGTGTGATACTTGGACGTAATTACGTAGGACACACACCAGTTTCAATAATTTCGCGAAATTTCTTGCTGTCGAACAAGTCTAAATTTTCGTTGTTTACTAGTAGCTGTGTGCTTGTATTGCGCCATGTTATACCATTTATTGCTTTGAAAAATAGTGTCTTAAACTGTTCATCTAACACTGGCTTGCTTTATACAAATACTACACTCCCTCCCATTGTATTTCATTGTTTCGCTTCCTAATCCTCACCGGTGTCGCCTTCGTGTCATTCATTTGTAACATGTCTAGAGTTCAGAGTACCTGCTGTAGTTTTCAGCTTCGTGAAAGAGGGTATGGCGAAGTGGGGTGAAGGTGATCCACGATGGATTGTTGAAGAGCGAGCAGACGCCACTAACGTGAACAACTGGCATTGGTAGGTGTATGATTGTACTGTACACTTAGTTTTAATCAGCATCTTACTAGTCATATGTATGCCTTTAACTACTATATTAGATCCAATCTTGTCTTATGGAGCCGTTTGGTAGCAAACGATCTCTTTTTTCTCCATGTGAAAACGATTGGGACAGTTACGTACTTGCGACTAGCTATTGAAGCACTTTGAAGAGGTGTCTAAAAATTCGTATAAATGATATGTATTGTAACAGAGATAGGTAGAATTCATCCTTAAGCCGCTTTCACTACTTTTACATCGTGCTCCTTCCACAAAAAGATGAAGAATACAGCTTCGATGGTGTGAAACAGTAACATACCGTAACCCAAGCATTCGAAGCTTATGCGCAGTTTCGCATGCAAAGCGTGAAAGATAAAGCGGTCGGCGTTGGTCAATCCCTGCGGGATGCGCCGTGCATTCGACTTCATCAAGTATCGTTGGAGGTGATCGAATGCATATTTGGCTTTTGCAATGACCTCCGATCACTGCGCTACACGCGCCTTTGTTTCGCATGTAAAAGCTGTAAAACAACGTTTCAGTGTTTGTGCACATGTAATGTGTGAGTAGAATTTTAGTAACGGCACAATGTGTTGCGGTTTGCAAGATGGTGTGCGTTATAATCTAATAACCTACTAACATGTTAATTGGATGTGAGAAGTTGTCTCCTCCTTATCCTACAGTATATGTATTTAGTTTGAGTATCGGTCATTATTGCTTGTTCATGAAATCCTTGGACGAGTTTCTTAAAGAACACCTGCGTCAGCGGTTTAGATCTAAATAACCTTGCTGCCGCTAATGTGTTTCTGGTCTTTTTAAGAGCAGTCTGTAAGAGCTAGACGGGCTGCTTAAAAGTAACTTGTGGCTGATTTTAGGGCTGAGAAGAATGCTACACCGTGGTCCAAAGCGCGGCTTACCAGTCTTCTTGAAACACTCACTGTTGAGGTATTCCTCATAATATTCATTTTATTTTCACATGTTGAAAACCGTTTTAGGAAGTATCTACTTATCATTTTGGTATTATTGAAATTGGAGTGCATCTATCTTTCAGGAAGGCCCAATTTCTGTAAAGATGGAAACCATCAAAAACCTTGAAGGAGAGGCTACTGCGAATAACCGAAAAGCAAAGTTGATTTTTTTATATGAGTGGGAGATCAAAGTCGCTTTTTTAGGTAGGTTTTTTAGTTTATTGGTTCTATCGAGTGATTACTTAAAAGGTTAAAAATGATTACACTGCGAAATAACGAAACCGTCTGTTGAATATAGTATGATCATGATATTGTCTCCCAATTTTTTCCGTTTGTGCGACGAAGTGATAGTTTTCTCAGCACTATATAACGGTCGAATTTTGAAGATTTGAGCACTAACCCATCGCTCTGTAAAACTGGGGTAAAGGTAGTATCTTATGGACAGCTTTTTTTTTCGAACTGTGATTTGTCTGGGTCGTATATGGTATACATTCTCTTTCAGCTCGTGTCTCTGGTTCAGATATTGAGTACAAAGGGATTTTGGAAATACCAAATCTCAGTGATGAAAACGATGCGAGCGAAATTGATGTAAGTCGGCTTTTTGGTAGCATGTCTCGTTTTGTCATTATGATTCATCTTTCTAACATTTAGGTAAATATATCTGTAGACACGAAAGGCCCTCATGAGGCTGTTATACGCGATTTGTTGACTAAGGCTGGGACAGAGAAAATCCGGGTAATTTGTGCTTTTAATTTTCTTTAATGTTAGGAAATATTTCCTACTGTACTTCCTTATACACTCTGCTCAGGCCGCCTTAGGTACTTATATTCGTGAACTGAAAGAGGAATTCAGCAAAGGCCTCATTCTTCCTACCGACAAGGTTAAACCACAGGCTAGTGTCTAAATATTTTAGTGGTTGCTACAAAGTAATGTTCTAAGTAGGTATATTGGGACTTTCCTATATCTTCATGATTTTTATTTTACTGTTCCTAAGTTTCAGGTCGTCACCAAAGAAAGAACTACGGTTATTGATAAGAAGAGCTTCCAGAACATGGTAAGCCAAATTGATTGTTTTAAATCTGATCAAATGTTTATTGTCGCCCTCTCTATTTTTTTTTCAGGTTATAACTAATGACAGAAATGACACTCCCAACAGAGGTATACTTCCAAAGTTTTCTCCTCTCTTCTTATTTTTTAACAATGACTCCATTTACAGAAGAGAAATTTGATGTGAAGTCTGTTGAACTGAGTGAATCGTTCAAAGTTCCGCCTGACCGTCTATTTGAGGTTCTAAGTGAACCTACTGTGCGTATTCGCTTTACGTAATACCACTTGTTGTATCATGAGTATTCTATCTTTCCATATGCTTTCTGTATCATATATCAATATCTTTGTAGTTGGTTCGTGCGTGGGCCAACGGGAATGTTGAGTGGGATTTCAAAGAAGGTGGAAAGTTTGTTCTCTTTGGCGGCACTGTGACGGGAACATTTGACAAAATCGTCAGTAATGTTTATTATCGTAGTTTTACTGTGCATAACCTGCAAATAGCGGGATTGTTGCATAAGTGTATGCATTTCCTTCGTCCTTTTCTTGTTTCCAAAACAGTTTTTGTACCTTACTTACTTGGTACTTGAACGGCCCGTCCTCACTGGTTGTGCGGGCTCCAGCAGAATCAACATTGTGGTTAGATTTGCTGGTTAAGCCATTGTGGTTCCCTGGTATCCCGAGGTCAGCCTGGCCAAAGTCTGCCCCAGGTCTTCACCACCACGGGCAGTCGCAACCCTTGTGGATCAGGAGATTTGCCACCATGCGACGTGGATACCAGGACGGTGATGACTCCTGGATTGGTTTACTCTTAGCTAGGTTTCCTGATGAAAACGTTGAACTCCTCGGCTTGGGAGACCCTGAGGGAGATAAATCCCTCCGCTGTACATCGCAGCCCGACACCCGGGAACACCTTCCAGCCACGATGAGGCGGTAAACCGTTGGGAGCTATTTTTATATCGCTTTACTCCATTTATCATTTATTTGTGGACCGTGTCACAGCATGGAAAAAAGTTTTCTGCTTGTTATTTCAGAAGTTGAATGAGGAAATAATCATGTCGTGGCGGTTGAAAAACTATCCGGATGGTCATCACGCTAAAATAACATTTACGCTTAATGATGAGGTATTTACAATCTACTATATGAATTGAACTTTTCTTTTCATTTATCAGTTTGCGTCTACGTAGGAATTCGTGTTGGGGCAGCACAAGCACATTGCATCGCAGCTGGAGTTTTTTTTTTTGCAACACTTTGGAACATTGTTTTGAGATGATTCGACATATTCGCGATGACGTTTGCTGTCTTTAAGAAGAATCAGCAACATTCTCTATGATGCTCTGTAGGTATAAAAGCGATCACCGCAATAATAATGTTTGCATTTGTCTTGCAGATGGATTTTAGTATTCTCATCATCCTTAGGGCTTTCGCCAGTCTCTTTGTATTTCTGTTACCAACAGCACTCTTGCGACTTCACGAATAAGTTCGTCCAAAAACAGCTTTTTGCACATTATCAGCTCTTTAGCGACCACGCCTAATGGCAGACGCACTGGACCAAGCTTGATTTTCGGCTATGACGGAAATGTATCCGCACGTTCTATGTGGTAATAAAGTAGTACTCGATTGCCACTCAAATTGCTGGTTAATGAACTCGTTATAAAGATTTTCTTTTGTATAGTGATAGTGGTAGTGCAGTGCGCGGAGCGCAGAATAGGTCTTTTCACATCCAACGCTTAGCACAACATCTGTGTTCAACAGGCTCTCAGTTAGGTACAAAAGGTGTGGGAAAAGCTCTATGCGGCAAAAGAAATAAGCATGATGTGTGCTCATAGAAATCAATATGTGTGGTCTGTAGAGCGCGTCAGTGTAGATACTGATGATATCAATGCCCATGGTCGCGAAAGAGTTATCTGGGGAATATAGCCTTTCTCGAACTATAAATATAAGCCGAATAGAAAGAGTTTCTGAATAGGTAAGTCATCGAAACAGAAATGTTTTTTAAACCAATGCACATTATTGCAAACGTTCCAGTCAAACGTCGTTTTCTAGAGTGACTCAACTTCCTTGAACGTGAAAGCGGACGGTGTACCTTCACATATGGCTGAGGAAACGCGTAATGGGCTAACTCGTTACTATCTCGCCTCTATCGCTCGTACATTTGGTTTCAGTGCTCGTATGAGCTAGAAATGATCGCTGGCAAAAGATGAGGTATTGGGAGTTGCTTGCAAGTAGGAAGTTTAAGCGTTATATTCGGTGTATTTTACTGAGGTGAATGGTATTTGAACGTGAAATGCATATGCTTTTGTTCCCATTGTTTTTTCTCCTTATTCATGTCATTGTTAAACCAAACAGTAGGTTCTATTCTAATTGTCTGGTTTTTTTTCTTTACATAATTTGTGGTTTGTTGTAGTACCATGTGTTCAGAACGCTGATTACTCACAGATTCCCGTTGATGATAAAGATGATACTTAATCGGTTAGTGCTTCTGCTAGGACTAAATGTAGGCCGTAGTGTTTCGTCATCAGTGTGGTTTTTAACTTCGGTCTAAACTGAAAGCGAAGAAAATTTCGCGCTTTCTGCGAAACATGTTGCTTGCCGTATTCAGATACATTTTTCTAGTTTTTAGGTAGCTCGATGCTGCGTCTGCGTATACCCAAGAAATATGTATTCGCATATAACAAGTACTGATTCATTTGCTATTAATGACTGCTCCTTGATTGGTGGTTTCTTAGTCTTTCTGATTACTGTTTTTAAAGGTTTGTTTAGCACCCGATCTAGGGTCATAGAGGATCTATTTGCTATCTGTCTACTAACTACATACACTAGTTTTCGACATTTCGGTAGGTACAGTTTTATCTCCAATTTTTGATCGTCGATGTCTCGTGGAACTGCATAGCTGCTATCTCAGCTGCGTGTTAAGAGATAGTCGTGTGATTTCAATAGGGCCGAAGAGATTTGATCCTAATTGCCAAGCGTTGTTCAGCTTTTTGTGATACATACGTACTGACATCACCGACTTGTAAGACTTCGTACCGCTAACAAATGTTACAAATCTCAAGTGACGTAAGGGTCATACTTTTTACCTTTTTCAAACAATTTGAAGAAAATAGTAGCTCATTGATCAGGATCGTAATCATTGTTTTCAGTGATCCAAAGTGTCAAAATAATGGATGCGAGTTAAGTAATAGTAGTTAAGTGCAATAACTGTGTTAGAACTTCAAATTCTCTTATATGCAGGAACTGTACATTCTTTCATCGAAAATCTCAGCCCAAAGAAAAGTCCGTCTTCCCAAACTTTCGATTTCGATAACAAATTAACGTGTATCATATGCACTAGTGCAACATCTGTCGTCCAGTTATTGCCAAGTGATTCGAGTTCGCGTGCAAGAGAAGTGCAGAGGGCTTTGCTCGTTCTAGGGACCCTTTGAGCATCATTATCCTTCCTCTAGGGTTTTCGCGAGGAACTTCTACCATGAAGTAGGTGGTCTTCCAGCTGTGCGCTTGATATCCCTATGAACTCAGTGGCTGAAGGCTGCTTTCGATCGGTTATCGTTGAGGCGATTTCTGGCCCACCTGGTCTTCGAATTTTATGGTGCAGAGCGGTGTTTCTGCTCTTTGATCGTTGATAGGTCGGAAATTTGGATTCGCTGTCTCACTTCCGTGAGACAGGATGCTCCAAGGATCGTCCTCTCGAATGCGCGTTCAATTGCACTGATTGATCTTTCATCGTGCTTACGTAGCGACCACGCTTCTGAACGGTATTAATTCGTAGATACCAATGTAACGTTCGTCAGACGTTCATCTTGGTCAAGTCTTGGCGTTGAAATCTCCAATGATGACCCCAATGTATGGTCTTCTGTGTAGAACTTTTTGCAAGTTCACATAGAACGCTCCGATTTTTTCATAGCTTGATGTGGGTGCGTAAACAACGAACGTAACCGGAGCTGAAATTGATCCACGGCACTTCAGTAGTAAGCTTCCGCTTCAAGTTTTTATTTGTTCGAATGTTCACGGCCAAACTCCCGTTGACGGGGACGTCAACTCTAGAGACTCCTCTGTTATCGCGTGTTCGGAGCACTGTTCTTTTCCGATATTTCCGGCGTTAAATGGTAGCCAGCTTCTCGCTTCAGCCAGTTCGATGACGTACCTTATCCTTCTAGCCTGTATGCTCAGGTCCTCAACTAAGGATGCCGATGGAAGTAGACGTGCGCTAGAGCCACAGATCGTCACCTTAACGTAGGACGAAGAAAATGTTGTACCGATTGTGTAACAAAGGACAATACAATGCAGAACTACAGTGCATGCCAGTAAGCATAGCTCATTAACAAGTTGCTTTTCTGAATCGACAGCGACAATGTCTATAAACGGTTCGTTCGGTTCAGGAGGACACTCGACCGCTAGTAACTGGTATGAATTTGTCTTCTTGGCTGGGAGAGTGTATCAGAAGAAAACCAATCTAATGGAACATGCACAAGCGCGAAGAGCGGGAATGGAATCATCATGCATGTTATTTATCAGTTTCAAGAGAGGACATGCTAAAGCATAAGAGAGTTGGACCGTTACAATGGTGCTCAAATGGAAAGGTAGAAGTGTTTTCATGATGAGCACACTTTTGTCGGATTGGCAAAACAGAACAGTACGGCGAGATGGCCGAACGGTCCTAGATGCTGGCTTGGTGCACCAGTCCCTCTGCTGGGGTGTGTTCGAATCCCACTCTCCTCAGCGTTTCTGCTGAGTTGCGGTGTGATTCCATTTGTAGAAACTCATAAGGACGTGTTGACCTGTTTTCATGTTTTCATCAAAGTCTTCTCCGTACATGAGCACATTTTTGTAGGATGGGCAGAACAGAGCAGTACGGCGAGAAGGCCGAGAGGTCCAAGGCGCTGGTTTAAGACACCAGTTCCTTCGGGGGTGTGGGTTTGAAGCCCACGCTCATCAGCGATTTTGCTGAGTTGCGGCGTTATGCCAATTGTAGGAAGTCAGAAGAACATCCTGAAATATTGTCTTCCGAGACTTCTCCATAGGTGAGCCAGGTTTTTGTCGGATGGGCAAGGCAGAGCAGAAGGGCGAGATGGCCGAGCGGTCCAAGGCGCTGGTTTAAGGCACCAGTCCCTTCGGGGGCATGGGTTCGAATCCCACTCCGTCAGAACTTTTGCTGAGTTGCGGCGTGATGCCATTTGTAGAAAGTCAGAAGGACATGATGAAATGTTGGCTTCAAGGACTTCTTCGTACATGAGAAAGGTTTTCCTCGGATGGGCAAGACAGAGCAGCACGACGAGATGGTCGAGCGGTCCAAGGTGCTGGTTTAAGGCACCAGTCCCTTCGGGGGCGTGGGTTCGAATCCCACTCTCGTCAGCGTTTTTGCTGAGTTTCGGCGTGAAGCCATTTGTAGAAAGTCAGAAGGACATGCTGAAATGTTGGCTTCAGAGACTTCT